TCAACTAAATTACATTGTGTAACAAAAAAAGTTTACCTCAATGTCAACTAGCGACATCTGGTGAGCAGAAAATTATTAGCCCTAATTTTACTACATTGTAAAATATTAAAAATTATGATCTTTATAAAAGAGTCTTGCTGGATTTCGTGTTAGTTCTACCCAGGGCAGAATTTTTCCTGAACCAGGGGTAAGAGCATAAATACTGTGTTACTTGTAATAGGAGTTATACTACAGAGTTATTCTATCCTTTATCACATATATTAATTAGTTTAAAAAAAAAGTTTAATTAGATAAAAAGTTACGTAGGTACGTCCTTGAATTTTAACGTAAGAGTTTAAACGGCTTAAAAATCTCATGCGACTTTTTCACTCGGCTGTACCTCACGCAAGGATGGTCCGACGAGTAGATTGGATAAAGTTAGTGTTTTCAAATTGAGTTCCATTTTGAATATAGGTATATGCAAATTGTAAATGCAAAACGTTTCAATAACTGTTCGGACGGCGACCATGCGCTGGTGTCTCTCGGGGTTTCGCGATCTCACTCGTGGAAAGTCGAGGTAATATAAACTTTGTGTGAGGTCCGCTAAATTAATTTTCAAATTCAACGCTTAAAAGTTTTTGTTAAATATAGTTTGTAAGTAGTAGAGCCATGATGCAGCTATATTGTAGTTGTAACACGAATAGGTCGGCTCAACCGGGGAAGAACCACGCTCCTAGAAAAAAGCAGTGTAAAATAGCAACTTAACGCTACTGTGTTTCGTATGGTGAGTGTCGTAGACCTTTTTTTTCTGGAAACGAGTTATTCCATCTTAGTTCTCATGGGTGGTAGATGTTGATGTGTATCGGCCACAGTATCGACTTACCATGACTGTGTGCTCTTTTGTCACACTTATTCTTTAAAAATATTATAATTAAAATCGTTTTTTATGTAGTTTTTATTTCAAATTTATCACGAGTACAATAGCAGTGCGCGGGAAGTCGGCAGATGCAGTTGACTTAGGTTCGAGCTTCATGATAATCTCAAATCGATGACGTCATACACAACTCTACCTAATTTCTAGTTCAAACGTCTAGCTTAAGAAGAATATGAAGAAGTAACTAGATGTACTGTGGGATGGCGATGTAAAATAATCTATCAACACCATTTCATTAAAGTGAAAAAACTTTATCGACGTAATGGAGTAATTTAGTTCGGTATTAAAAAAAAGTCACGTTTTCTTGTAACGTTTCTAGCACTGATCCATCGCCTAAAGTCTGTTTCCTTTTTAAATACCCAAGTGTTGCTATATTGTACCCCACCCATTAGTATTTATCCTTTTTTCTAACATTTTTTTTATTGTCTCGAAGAAATTGCTATGTAGCAAATAAAACCGCCTATTGTTTTCCTTCAATAATTGTATATTTTGTTAAGGTAACGCTTCGTATATATAACGTGTTAGATAATAATCTTAAGTATTTATATAATGAACACTACTTAGTAGACTTTACGTTATATAATATTCATGGAACGCATTAGAAGTAAAAAACACGCGTGAGTGTCGTGAAACACTCTATTGGAACGAAGATCCTTTCGTAGTATATTATTATTGATAAACGTATTATATTATTGATTAAAAATACAAATAAATTAATTACTAGCGTCTATTAAAATGAAGCTTCACTTAAAATAATATTTCTTTCATGGCAAGATAAGAAAAAGTGCGAGGGAAATGGATATTATTCCATCTCGCTTCCTTATAGCCGCCAAGGCCGTTTACACTACGTCAGAAGGGGTCGTGACGGAAAAATCTTACACTTTTTCTCGCCTAGTCCCCCTCCGCCAAATTCATACCGGCCGATAAAGAACTTCGTTCCAAAACAATATAATATATTCTAAAAGACATTACGTATGTATACCAACAGAAACATAGCCCATCACGATGCAACATACGCCGGCCTTACTGCAACGTCACCTTCTTTGCTGGTACTAAAAGTATTACCACGGCGGACAGAATGACCACAACAATTGACACTCGTTGAATGATCCAACGTAGTTGTCTGCGCAATTATTTATACTGCTTTACGAGTGGGGAGTTTAATCGCTGATTCGTAATCTACCCTCACTCTAAACAAATTACTGTTTTAGCGATATTGATATTTTACTGCCTCACTTTTGTGTTTTAAAAATATGTTAAGAACATATTTGTATTACGAATTTAATATTTAATTCGCGCAAGATTATTTTATACTTTTTAATAGTTTTTTTTTTGTGATAGTAACTTTTTCTCTTCAACTCCTTGATTATTATAATACCAAGATTTTGGTATACGGTGTTGAATGTACATATGTATGTGTATACTTAATTATTTTTTTAATAATTCTTTTATAAATAAATTTATACATTTATTTCTATATCTTAATAAATAAAATAAAATAAAATAAAGGTATTTTTTCTTCTTGATGCACAATAAAGAAAATGGTACTGTATTAATCTAGTTTTAATAGTTCTTCTGGTAGCCAAATTTTAAACTTAAGTTCAAATTTAGCGATAACGAAATACCGTTAATGCAGTTTTTGAAAATATGAGTAAATAAGGCTTCTACATTTATTTGAAATTATCCCAAATTGAATGTGATTTATGGGCAACAACGTTTTTGCCTACCGATCGACGCTTACAAATGTGTGCGTGCACAATAAAATTTGTTAAAATAATACATTATCACGCATTTTGAATTTAAAAGTTAAAAAGGACATGATTTTTCTGATTAATTTTTCTTCGCCATTTGCCTAAATTACTTATTCTGAACCTTCTCCGAAAACTTGAGCGGTTATTGTAAAATAACCCTGTATATTTCAGTTAAGCAATCTTATGGATGCCAAGTTACAGTTTCTTTTCTAAGTGATGTTGGACGAATTTGAATAATTTATTTTATTAGACGGCAGGGTTCTTTCTCTTCTTAGTAGTATTTTTTTTGTTGGTACTATACTCTGATTAATTCTACTGTAAATCATCTGTATATTGATTATGCCTCGGCCACATATATCGCGATAGAATTATCGCGATAAAACTTTGCCTTCGCCCTACTACGAAGGTACCTGGCCACACTGCGCGTTGTAAAGTTTATCGCGATAAACACACGCTAAACACAAAATAGACGCTACTGTCGCTCTGTAATATATGGCAGCGAATAATAATTTTTTATCGTTGTGTCTGTTTTTAAAAAATAAGAAAAATGCAGGGAAAAGGCGACAGTGGATGATAACCATTCATAAATCAAGAACTACGTAAGCGTTTAGTGTTTACTTTATTACGTATAGTAGAAATATGTCGCAAACTCCAATTTACTTTAAAACATCCGCTACGCACGATGCCTGTGGACAGACTGAAGTGTGGCCGCACAAGCGAAGTCCATCGCGTTACAACGCTTTGAAGTGCGAGAATTTACCGAAAGTGAAGCGATATGCTTGCGACTTCGCACGAAGTGACAAAGTATTCACGGAGGGACGGCCATATTCGCGTTATCGATGCTATGAGGGATTCCCTCTTAGTTCAAAGAGAAGACAACGCATCTGTGGCCTTCTTTATTTAAAGTTGGTAGCAGGTGTAAATGGCTGGTGTTACAAATCACCTGTACGTTAAATGATATCTCGTTTGTCACTATAAAATAATAAAAATTTAATTTATAGAGGGTTCATGTGGTAACGGGTCGGTAATCTAGCTCGATGAGATATAATATAACGGGGAAGAAGTTTCTAGGGTAATTGCCTTGTAGCGGCGTGGTCGAGCGACCCTCGTCACTCCATCTAGGCTCAAGCGGTCGGAGTAAGGATTAGACAAGAAACAAATGTTTGGTGTAAAATATTTTTAAGCAACACGACAAGGCTACAATAAGGACATAACAACACAATTAACAAAAAAACATGCGTGAGTGTCGTGGAATACTCGGTTGGAACGAAGTTCCTTATTATTGATAAACGTATCATATTATTGATTAACAAATACAAATAAATGTATTATGTACTGGCGTCTATTAAAATGAGGCGTCTTTTAAAATAAAATACACTATGACACAAGGGGTAGTGACGAAATATCTTATATTTTTTTCGCGTAGCTCCGATTCGCTTAACCCTTACCGTCCGATAAGGAATTTAGTTTCAATAACTGATAGCATAAAACTACAATCATCTTTTTACAATATATGTAAGCATTCAAAACTTAACAGTTTTTGAAAATAAAACAACGTCACGCCCACACTAGGATTTTCTACTGGATCGTAGAGGCAGTTTACAAACATAAATCGCACAAGAACAAACATTCAGATCCGAAACAATTATTTGTAGGCTACTCAAAAACTTGTTCCGTGTTGGATTCGAATCCGAAACCCTTAGCACCGCAACTCGATGCTCAGCCACTGCGTCACGGAGCCGCCAAAACTAAATCTAGAACTGCGCGTACACTAAAAAAATTAAATTACTAGAGTATTAAAATGAGACTATGATAACCAGTAGGTTTTGCTAAGTGATAATGAAGCTTAAATACATAGATACAAAGTAAAAAATAAAACATATTAAAATAAAAAAGGAACACGAAATCGACGGGTGCTAGTGTGTAAGAACCGTACTTTGTGATTATACATACAAAGACCGACGTTAAGAAGTGAACTTGTAGTAGACGGCATAGGTAAAGAAAGTATTTTTTTTAATATTTTGTGAATGAATTCCACTGCTGGGTTAGCTGCTGTCTGAACACATTGTAACATACCACCGAGTATCATCATTAAAAAAACGACCGTATTCTAATGGCTAAGACTACGGACTACGAATCAAATAGGACGTAGATTCGAATCTCAGTTCTACCATCGTGTACCACTCCGAACACGAACATTTCAAGCATAACTGATGAGGTTATAGGGAATATTAAAAATGTTAATAACGTTAGCATTAATAGCTTTGCTATTTATTTAGTGGTAATCATTAAAACGTTAATGATATTTTTTTTAATCTTTAACCTTTTTTCAACAGTCACGTCGCCCACCCAAACATGACAGTGACCGTCTCATCTGACCGCCACAGTGTTGGTGCTCAACGCTGGGGTCCACCGCGCTCTGTCACGTTAAAGAGAAGCCCTGGAGCTCCACTAGGTGTGAGCATTGTCGGTGGAAAGGTAACTTATTTCCATGTCAAACTTTTGTTTAAATATACTTTCAATATTTATCGTTACGTTAATACGAGGGCGCAACTGAAAGTTTTTGGAACTGGCCACTTGTAAATAATATAATAAAAAAATAAGTTCAAAGTTTGAAAATGGAAATCTGCCAGTTTTGTTTAGATTTCGAATTTCTAAGAACTTTCAGCGTTACCCTCGTATAATTTCAATATATATATATATGCTAGCGATTCGCTCCGGCTTCGCGCGGTTGATTTCTCGATCTCGACGACAACACCACCGAATCTAAACCATTCTCTAATCAACTTAATCACACATACAAAATTTCATCAAAATCGGTCTAGCCGCTTAGCGGTTCAGTCAAATACACACGGACATGAGAAATATATAATATAAATTGGATATCTTAAACATATCACAACCTTCTCCTAGAATCATTCTGTCTATTGATGAAAACCGCATCAAAATCCGTTGGGTAGTTTAAAAGATCTGTACGCTTAGATCTTTTAAGCTACGGCGTGACTTAGTTTTATATTATGTATGTATAGAAATTTTCCATCCTATCTACTTGCAGAGCGCATTGGATTGCCATCCCATCGGACTATGAGAGCGAGGGAATAGCTAGTGCACCCCTGCGCCCCTTTTCCCTTGCGCCTCCTTTTCCCTCGGCGCCCCCTTTTTCCTAAAGGGGGTCGCTTCCGATTCGGCAGAAAGGCCATAACTGGCCAACGCTAGTCCCACAGGTAGTGTTTAGTGCGTAGGCACTTCATAGTGAGTCCCACATAACCACGCAGCCGGCTGACGTGGTATGCTATGAGCATTCACCACCTCCCTCCCCCGCTTCCTTAGGGAGCCTTGCTTTGGGCGCAAAAAAAAAATAGTGCACCCGTGCTTGCGATTACATTCATTCACTATAAGATATAATCCTATCCTGTGAAGATGACTAGTCTCCTTAGTCTCTGGTAGATCGCCGCTACCACAGTTACACTATCTATTACCTCACTTTCATCATATTAGACTGATAGGATGGCAATTCGACACGACCGGAGATAGATCAGGCGCAAGGCTAAAGAGTATAGTAAGTGTAGAGGAATGTATGCTTGGGGACTTCACGTAGGTCTTGTTCGGGGCGTCGTCAGAAAAACAGCGCACAATGCTGGGTTGGTGGCTATTTCATTGTTGCAATCGCATTTTTTCACATATTAATACCTCATATTTATGTCTATTTTTTTAATAGTATTAGTGTGGCAAACGAGCACACAGTCCACCTAATGGTAAGTGGTTGCTGTGGCCCATAGACTTCGAACTCAACTAAAATCCAGATGCGTTAAGATGGAATGCCTCGTTTCCAGTAAAAAACGTCTCCGATTATCTACACACACCATAAGAAACATTACTCTGATATTCTGTGAAAGCGTGGTCCTTCCCCGGTTGAGCCCGACCCATTTGTGGTACACCTATATTACTAATATAGCTACAGAATTGCTCTATCACGTAATGTCTAAACGAAAATGTCCTTCCGCCATCTTCCTTTCTTGAATATTGTAATGGAGTAGGAAAAATTCGCAACGCTGCTTTATTCCGAGCTAGTAGCTTACTACTATCCATCCTTCAATTCATTACAGCCCATCAAAAGCCTGAATGATTTTCATAACTGTTCTTTCCGTTCTTCGGCTACTGGTTGCACTTCTACTTCTACTGGTTCCTTTACACCGTACTGATTACTCATCTCACTTTATCGCCCTCACGGCCATCTCACTCTGGAACGAGATACCTCTTGACATAAAAAGAGCTCCCAACAAGTTTGTTTTTAAAAATCAAGTCCGTAAACATGCGAAAAAATCGTTGCAAGTTTAAAGTAACACAACATTTATTTTCACATACATTTCATTTTTGTTCTATATGTATATATTTATATGTATTATGTTTTTGTTTAGGATAGGGTGACAAACAAGCACACAGTCCACCTGATCGTAAGTGGTTGCTATGGCCCATAGACATCTATATCTATCTTCGTTTGCGAATTAAAATGCAGATGCGTTGTCACCCGTGAGGACTAAGATGGAATGCCTCTTTTCCAGTAAAAAGGGTCTCCAGTTCTCTACACTTACCATATGAAACAGCAGTATTAAGCTGCTATAATTTTACGCTGGTATTCTGTGAGAGCATGGTCCTTCCCCGGTCCAGCCTAGCCATTCGTGCTACAACTATACTACTAATATAGTTGCAGCATGGCTCTACCACGTAAGAAAAAAACATTAATATATGTATATAGATATATTCTATATACTTTCTATTATGATTATTGCTGCACTCTGCTTCTTATATGTCTATCTCTGTTTAGCCTCATGGTTGACTGGGAGAGAATTCCCTATGGCATTAAGTCTAGGTCATAAAAGTATAAATAAATAAATAAATAAGCCTCCCCAATAGATTGCCTCATTAGGTGGATATTTGCCGTAGTTATGTCGCTTGGTAAGCGGGTTCACAATCGCAGTTTTCTCTCGTGTTCAATCATTCAATCACTGCGCCATAACAATAGATTTATAAAAAATCTATATTAAGTTTTTGCCGCCCAAATATCCCCATATCACCCCCACATAACTTACTTATAGAGTAAGGTGTTTTAATAACTGCACAATTTGAACGATTGCCCAATAATTTGGTATATACGATGCTCTGGCACATATAACGTTGAATGTGTTCACGGTTAGATAGCTCAAAATAAACCTCTACGGAAGGGACATGATGATTGGTAACTATACCAAATCATAAACCATCATCATCCTCATCCTCATCCCAACCACCGCCTTTCCAATTTTAAATAGCCCTGTGTCCGATGAAGCTGTAAGAGCCGCATAGGTTAACAGCGTAAACATCACTGAAAATAGTTGAATGTGTGTTGGTATATGAATATTCGCTACTCCATAGGTATTGTCCCGTGGGTGTCACGACAAAGGGAAACTGAAACAGGAGATTGACAGCAACATCTTCCTGATAAAACTCAAAATTATAAAAATACTGTGGTTGCCATCCCGCCTGCCAAGGGTGGCAACTACCGCAAAATTTGAATTTAGGTCGCTCGGGAGTATCGCTCCTGACGCCTACGCACACTAGCACAATGTGTATGTGCACAGCTTACAACAACCTAAGACAAAACTTCATCGTGAAATAGAATAGCTATAACTAAACTTGCATATCTCGCTTCGATATTCAGAAAACTTGATATTTATTAACCTACTTTTAGTTGTAAATTCATTCCAAAATTTACCCGGATTTATTACAAACCGCAACTTGTTTCCAAGTAAGAATTCAATTTTCACATCTTTTGGGATAAATTTTTGGGTTTACTTAGAATTCTGAGAAGGGTCTAATTTATTTCAATTACACGTATGAAAATTTAAACATAGACCGCCTTATTCCAAAACACGGACTTAATATAGTACTGGAGTTAGTAATATATTTAAACCATAAACTAAGAAAAACGTTATTACAAAACGAAGATTATCTCTGGTTCAAGGATTATCTATGGTATTAAAGTTAATCTTTCGAGACCCCTAGTTTAGCTATGGTACTAACCTTTCTATATAGTTTGTGGTACTCTATACTAACCTCAATTTCGGTACTTCTTAATTTGAGGTGAGCGTTGTTTTCATTTGGTGTTATTAAAATCGTTAAAAATGGATATTAACATGATTGACTTGATGGATTTAGAAGATTTGGACATGCTGGAGACCACTCGGCGACCTGATAGACATCGACATCGTGTGAATCCGTTTGAATTGAGTGACGAAGATTTTAGGTATAAGTATAGGTTCTCAAAACGTTTCGGAGAAAAAATAGTGGGTATCTTACGTGAGGATTTAGTGCACGACCCTCGAGGATGCCCATTGAGTCCTGAAATTCAAGTGGTTTGTGCATTACGCAACTGGGCTCGCCATGAAGTAAGTGCTGTTTATAATCTTGGTGGGGTCAATGTACCTAACATTACGCTAGATAAAAAGCCAAATAATACATATTATTGTTTTATTCGTAGATTCAAGACGATACAGCTAATTTACATAGTGTGTCTCAACCAGTAGTCAGTTGGACATGTAAAAAAGTAGCGGAAATTTTGTCACGGAATTCCCGAGAATTTATTAAAATGCCTATACTTTAAATGAACAACAGGAAACCATTAGGAAATTTCGCAGTATTGCTAATTTTCCTACAGTAATTGGCGCAATTGACTGTACTCACATACGAGTAAAGAAAGTGAATGCTGATGGGGGTCAGTTATATATTAATAGAAAAGGATTTTCTTCAATTAATGTACAGGTAATATACAAATATTTTAAATAGCTGTGATTGTCTCTTAATAACTTTACTTTATCATAATAGAAAATAATTTGTTTGACTATCTTATGGTAATAAATATATATTAAAATAAACCAGAAAAACATAAAGTACTAATGAGCTCTTATTTTACAGGTGGTTTGTGATGCTGACCTGAAAATCATGGACATTGTTACCAGGTGGCGTGGTAGTGTACATGACTCCAGAATATTCCGAGAATGTAGACTAAAACAGAGGTTTGAGGCTGGTGCATTCTCTGGAATATTACTTGGTGACAGTGGCTATCCTTGTACTCCTTACCTATTTACACCGCTGCTGAACCCCACAACACCACAAGAAGAAAGATATAATAGGAGCCATATCCGTACCAGGAACACAGTGGAAAGATGTTTTGGTTTGTGGAAGCAACCGTTTCGTTGCCTATTAAGAGGTATGTTTGGAGATATTGAAACAGCAAAAAAACAATTGTTGCATGTGCTGTACTACACAATATGGCCATCGACATGAGAGAAGATGTGTTTTCTGGTGAGAGAGATAGCATTGAACAATATTCATCTGAACCTATAGTACAAAGATATATTACACCATCAATAAGGGGAAATATTAGAAGAAGACAGTATATTGAAACTCATTTTCAGTAGGTAAACATTTTTTTTTACAAATTTATATAACTATTTATAATTAAAATTTATAATTATATTTATAAAATTGTCAAATTTTTTTCAATTGTCTAAAGCTATGTATATATAATTTATTTTATTTTGTTATTCAGAGGCCAATTTTGGCTATAAAATTACATTAAAGATCAATAAATGTATAAGACAATTATAATAATATTTCTTTTTGATTTCAGACATAATACCCATTTATAAAGGAACATATTTCTGCAGAGCCGTTGTCAGCTGTCAAAGAATAACGACTACATATTCACCAATATGAAATAAATTCAGGGGAGTATAGTGATAATATTTCATTTATTGAGCAAAATGCTTTTATTTAGGCTATAAATGATTGTGTTTCAGGGAAAGATGCGGGGTACAGCACATTCCACATCAATATGAAGCTATATTATATAAAGATTTAAGTGCTGTAGAGATACGTTTAGATTTTTTAATAAATATCGTCCCTCCTCTACATTCACAGCCGGATTTCCTTTCCAGAGGTGCAAGGGTCCACGGGGAGTAGGACTGTATGATAACTAAGTAAATAGGTTTAGTTTTTTTATTATAGTTTTTTACTATTGTATATTATATTTCATTGTTATGTAAATAAAATGCATATTAATTATAATTATTTATTTTAATTATTAATAAAAGATGTACAAATATTTGCAGCAATTAAGTACCTGAAAATAATAGTTTCATATATGAGGATATTTACAAACATGTATCTGATATAGTCTCAAATATTTAGTTTTTTTTTATAGGATAATGGTGATAAACACAGTCTACCACACACACACACACACACACAGTCCATCTGATGTTAAGTAACTGCTGTGGTGCATAGACGTCCACATCTATCCTCGACTACAAATCAAAATGCAGATGCGTTGTCACCCGTGTGGAGTAAGATGGAATGCCTCATTTCCTGTAAAAGAGGTCTCTCTCATACAAAATTTGTACAAAAATTTATCCAAAATTTGTCAATAAACAAGTTTAAATGTTTTATTAAAGAAAAATTTTATAAAAAGGTTATTATAATATCAAAGAATACATAAATGAAAATATTGGAAATACTGGAATTGAGGTGATCGCCACCATGGTGGTTCTATTAAAATTCATTTAAAAATTGTACAAATAAAATTATTGTTAAGAGAAATGTTTATAAAAAAGTCCCACTGGGTTTCTTACTAGTTCTTCCCAGGACTGAGGTATTTTCCGAACCAGTGGTAAATAAAAAATGTCTTTCAATAAGTATTCTGTAATAATCTATATTTAATAAAAATCATTCTATTCTATTCTCGTTCTATAAACTCACCATAATAAACACAGCAGCATTAAGCTGCTATTTAACTTGTGTTTTTCTGACTTTCTAATAAAGATATTTGTAACTCTAATTTTCTAATTTTTAGGTTAGCTATTTTAATATTGTATTTATGTTCCTCTTCCATCATTTCCAGTTGTCTTTTTTTAAATCTGTGTTACTTTTTACAATTGTTTGGTGTACATCTTCTCTTCTGTAAAATGAAATGGAATACTTAATGTAAGTTTTGTAGTTATTTTAGACATTTACAAAGTATTCTAGAGTAATAAAAGTGCACTTAACCTTGTACACCAATTAAAGAAATATTTTTTAATTATTTTTAAATCAATTCATATTAAACTTTGCTTTTAATATTTGAAAACATGAAACAATTTTCAGTGTTTAAATACTAATTTTCACATTTTAAAAAGTATGTAATGTATCAGACTATGTAATTTTTTCAACATACCTATTTTGCAAGCTATTTTTCCTGTTTTTAATTTTTGTTATACCCCTAGTAATAATATCTTTATTATTGGTTATTTTCACCATTTTGGCACTTTCTTCTGTATCTGTAGTTGGATCTATCTCTAAAAATTAATATAAATATAACAGTTTTAGAAAATTAACATTTATAATATTTACAAACTTGTATGCCTATGATTGTAACTATAATAATAATATATTTTGCTTTTTAATAAATATTCAATCAGTATTATTTACCTTGCACATATACAACATTGGGTTCTGGATTTTCTACATTTTTAACTATAGCTGTGTCTGTTTTTTCAAAATTAAGGCGAGGCTTAGGGTCAGCAACTTCTTTTGATGTTGTAGCCACAGTCACTGGATCCTAAAATAAATCATTAAAACATTTATTAACATGTTTTCCTGTCACCTGTCACCTCTATTTTGCCCTTTATTGAATCAGGTATTTTCTATGTTGTAGAAATATTATTATGATCCAAGACAAAAGGTAATTTAATAAATTATTAATTATAATACCTAATAGACAAAAATAGAAAATTATAATCGGACTGTGTAGATAATCTAGTAACATGTGTGTTATGATATTATATAGACCACTTTATATTAATTTGTGACATTTCAATTTTGAATATAATTAATTATAAAGAAATTTATGTTAAATTGTTACTAAGTATATTAAATTTTGAATATTCGGAAAATAATTTTGGATTGTAAATTGTATGCTTTAAGAGTAGATTTCAGAGCACTACCTAGGTACTAAAGTAATGGAAAATAAAGTTCTTTAATTTTAATTAAATTTGTAAGACATGTAAGTAATTTTATTTACCACTGCATCACTATCATAATTATTAACTTCAACGATAAAGTCGTGAGGGGCAATGGACATTATTTCCAAGTCCTCAAGAGAAGGTGATGGAGGTTTTCCGCCACCCCCGGTCTTTGATTGTTCCCTCCTATATGTGTATAAGTTTGATTTAGCACACAACTTCATTCTTTTCCAAGATAATTTCAATTCACCATCTGATCGGCGTTTACCTGTTATCTCATTAAATCTAAAAAAAAAATACGAAATCACGTAAACAATACCGTACCGTGTTGTTTGTACACATAACAAATGCGATAAGTACTTACTTATTAGTTATATTCTTCCACTCTTTTATTTTTTGAATATTTACCGATGTTTTTGTCGACTTATTCTCTATTATATGTGCTGATTGTGAAATAAGTGAACGTAATATTTCCTATAATAATAAGAACATTCCTTTTAGTTGAAATAAGGATAATAGGAGGATAAGAGTATTGGTACGTACTGACAAATAAATTTCGATATTTCACTAACTTTTTCTTCAGAACTCCAATTTTCACCCCGTTTTTTCTTTTGTTCCATTATTATATAAATATAACTGTAATAGCAAGTACTTTTAATTAATTAATTATTAATAATTTAATTTACTTATTATAAGGCTGCAATATAAACTATTTTGAACGCTCGCGTTACCTCTGTAATTCACTACATTTCACGCTAGAGTTGTTAAACTGAAAACAACTTGATATAATCAAAAGCGCGTCAAAAGTATATGTCGTGCTTGTTCAATAGATTTTAACGTAAACAAATAACAATGTATGATATGTTTTTGTATTGATGGATAATTATTGAAGCATAATTAAGTGTGAAAATAATATTAATATTTTATGAAACCGAACGTTGCATTGAATGAAACCTGTATGAACGAATGATAGAGTGTCATTTTTTGTTTTTTATCTGTGAATGATATTTAATATAATACTAACGTTGGTATTAACTGGTCCTCGGGTAGTCTGCGTTTTGTAATAAGCACACGTTTTAGTGCTGGTATTAACTAGAATATTGTAACAAACCTGGACTTCTTACTCCTAAACTTAACCCAGTACTAAAACATTTTTTTGGAATAAGACTGAATAAGTCTTCTTTTATACATAAGCTATGTAATAAAATCGGATTAATTAATTTTATAAACGCTATGAAGATAGCCATGTACGAAGTTTATTTGGGTGATTGACTAGGAAATGAGGATATTCGCAGTAAAACCAAAGTAACAATCGAAAGCCACGCTGCAGCTATATTATGGTTGTAGCACGAATAGGTCGGCTCGACTGGGTAGGACCACGCTCTCACAGAATACCTACGTAAAATAGCAGCTTAATACTGCTGCGTTTCATATGGCGAGTGTTGTGAGTGGCGTGAGTCGGAGACCCTTTCTACTGGAAACGAGGCATTCCATCTTAGTCCTTAGGAGTGACAACGCGTCTGCATTTTGATTCTTAATCGAGGACAAATGTAGATGATGTCTATGAGCCACAGTATCTACGTACCATTAGGTGAACTGTGTGCTCGTTTTATTCTAAAAAAAAAACATACGGCCAGCAGTGAAGGACCACGTCTCAGATCCATACGTCTTCATTGACAACACGCACTGGTTGTACAATCGTGTTTTCAAGTTGAAGTGATATAAATTTTTAAATGAAACTAATTTTACGGATTTTATCGCGTATATTAACCTATTTTATATTCCTGACGTTTCAAGCACTTTATAGCACCCATGGTCACAGGGGGGGGGGGGGGGGGCTGTAAGTGTTATTTAAATGTGTAGTTTTAAATATAGTATCGCGTAGATATAAATATATCAATTCATGCAATTTATAAAATTCTAAGTAAAGACTTTTTCCAACAGGTCGATATAATACCAAATCAAAACACTGCAAATGGTGATGACAAAGCAATTTTCGGCATCTTCATCAAAAATGTTGTCCCCAACAGCCCTGCTGGACTCTGTGGGCAATTACAGGCAAGTACTTTCTTTTTCCCTTAATAGTAGTTATAATACGTACATACATAAACTCTCACGTCTCAGTGGGGTAGGAGACTATACGGACTTCCATTTTTGGACACTTGACATTATCCTGACACACTTCTCTCGTTAATTTAACATCCATATACCTACACGTACATACTATTCGGTTTGGAGTATTCCTATCTTGGCTCATCTTCAATATATCCCCAATTCGGTTTATACCATTCCACCTAGGACATTTCTTCCGACTCGCTACTGCATCATACATTGCTTTCTCACTCTTTGTCTTTCCTCGTACATTGCTTCTACATTCAACACGTATCACCGAAGCATTTCTTTCTTAATTCTAGTTACAATATCTTACGAACTACACTTTTCTCATATCACACAATTTCTCACCCTGTCATTCAGAGTCAGCCTTAACATTCTTCCTAAAGAACGCATTTCTACAGCATTAATTTTACTTAGTTGCGTCTTTTTACGCACCCGAGTATCGTATAAGCATTTCATAAATGTACTTCAAAAAGTAATTATGCAGGGTTTTTCGCAATAACCGGCTAAATTGGCAGACAAGGTTCAGAATATATAATATAGGCAAATGGTGAAGAAAAATTATTTAAATAAAATCTTAAACATTCTGTCCCTTTTATCTTTTAAATTCAAAATGCACGCACACATTCGTAATGGTCGATCGGTAGGCAAAAAAGTTGTTGCCCATAAATCACATTCAATTTGGGATAATTTCAAATAAAGGTAGTAAATCCTTATTTACTCGTATTTTCAAAAACTGCAATAACGGTCAATCATGATTTATATACTTGAACTTAAGTTTAAAATTTGGCTACTCTTTGAAAAATAACCTTGTATACATAAATATAATATTGGAATAATGTTACCATATATTTTCATCAAAATACGAAGAAGGAATAAACACAAAGAAAATGTATTCCTGCGAAGGGCTTGAACTCAAACGTCAAAGAATCTAAAAAACTGAAGTATCTTTGTAAGATAATATAAAAATTATTGATGCTTGAAAGTATAGATACCGTTTTTTTCACTCCACAAGCCGCATAACTTAAGTCGCAAACATTTGCTAAGTGGCACTTTCTTTTACTAATACTCTACCAACGAATTTGTTTACTTATCTGTTATTAAAATAACTTTACGTCTTACCAATGTACTAAGCACGTATGTTACTTTATTGTGAATAATATTTATTTATTTATTTTTGAATACGTGACATTCAAGCGCTAATAACATCTTTGAATATTAATTGACGCGAAAACGTCAGTCTGTATCTTTCTTCCGCATGATAATTACCGTATTATTCTTTTGTAACTTCTGTACAGACGTTTACGTAATTATTATTGATTCTATATCATCATTGATCATAAAAAAATAAATTATGCGTAAGAATTATTAAAAACGCTGTAAAAACGCGAACATTAAGAAGTACGTTATGTTTGATTCTGAACGATAAGTTGAGAAATTGTGTGATCAGAGAAAAATGTAGTTTGAAAGATGTTATTGTAACAACGATTAAAAAGGAATGCGTCGGTGGTTTGAACACGAAGAAAGACTGAATGAAGAAAGACAATGAGTCTCAAAACAAATTAATACTCCAGAACTGAGTGGCAGAGTCTGCAAGGGATGCCCTAGACGAAAGTTTATCGACAAATTGGCGATATTTTAAAGATGGGCCAAACTAAGAGGACCCTTAACCGACAATCATATATGAGTTATATAGATGTGAAAGAAGCGAGAAAAGTATGCTAGGATCCTTCCAAATGGAAGTCAAAAATATCTGCCTACCCATCTGTGTAATGATCAATCTCATGTGCCGCGCCATTTTATTTTTTTACGCTACAAGTGTCAGGAGCCTTTCGGGAGGTCACTGATACCAGTAGGCACTATTACCTTGTATTTTAATAGTGGAATCGGGCTTACTTGCCAAATGGGCAAATGGGGTCAGCTAACACACGGGCATGCTTAAGCTTTTAACCACATTGGGTAACTGTATTGTCTGCCATCTTCTCTAATCACTGTAGTGTAACACAGGCTCGGCACGCACTTAACTAAACACATCCACTCTCGCCCGAGGCTCTCATGTAACTGACGCAGTGCGCTCGAGACAGTGACTTATATATATATACAAACACTACAGTAACGATAACACTTGAGGGGATAAGCGTGATAGTTATGTATGTTTATTATTATTATATATTGTTAGTTTATGTATGCTATGCGTGTTATAAAATTATTTAAATTAGCGTCAATTAATATACATTGTAATCGCTTCATAATGCCAGATAAATCTTGAAAATATTTGTAATATATCTTTTGTCTTTCAGACTGGAGACAGAATCCTAGAAGTGGATGGTGTTTGTGTTAGAACAGCGCAGCACGAGCGTGCCGTGCAGCTCATTAAAGCTGCTGGTAACACTGTCACTCTCACCGTACAGAGCTTGGTAGCCTGGGTAAGAACTTTTTTCTTTTATAGGATTAAGGTGACAAACGCGCACACGATCCAGTTAATGGTAAGAGATATCTGTGGCCTTGGACATCTGCACAACATGCTGCTATGTTAAGACGGTATTTTGTGAGAGCGTAGTCCTTCCCAATTCAGACCCATTCGTGTAATATAGCTGCAGTATGGCTCTACTGCGTACAATTCGTATATTTTATCTTTAAGATTACATATATATAAAGGAAGTATAGGTAGAACCTATCTAATGACCTCCCAAATCCCTGGAAAAATTGTGTCGGTCCATGCGCCAAACACCCTGTATAAACTCAAAAGCATTAAAAACATTACGAAATTCTAAGTCAATGCACTTAATTGTATAAAGCTACTAGTAATCCGCCCCGGCTTTGTACGGTTGACTTCTGGATCTCAACAATAACGCCACCTACCGGATTCAATTGTGAACTTAAACCATTCTCTAATCAACTTAATTATACACAAACTTTAATCAAAATCGGTCCAGTCGTTTAGAAAGAGTTCAGTCACATACACATGGACAGAAGAATTATATAGTATACAATATATGTGTTATATACATAAAACCTTTCTCTTGAATTATTCTGTCTATTGATCAAAATCCAAAACCGCATCAAAATCCGTTGCGTGGTTTATAAGATCTAAGCGTACAGACGGCGGGGAGGACTTTGTTTTATATTATGTAGAGTCTATATAACCATTGAGTAGTCACGCACTGGCTTGTAATAAGTACAACGAAGAATTACAACTAATATAAAAAAGAAGTATATAACACAGGTTCGCAAGTCATTATGATAGTCAGCACTCTGCATTTAGATTTTTAATCGATGGTAGATGTCTATGGGCTACAGTTTCCTCCATTTGTCATTAGGTAGACTCCTTGTTCGTTTGTCACCCTTACGGTTAAAAAAATATAAATATTACAAGCACTTTAATTAATATATGGTAATAGTAAAAAATATAAATAACTAGCGATCCGACCGGGCGATTTTTAGTTCTCGACAGCACGATAATTGGACCCGGTATGTATACAACGCCATCTGCTGGGTCCAATTGTAAATTTAAACCATCTAGGGACCCACTCAAATGCACACGAAAAATTTCGTCAAAATCTGTCCAGTCGTTTAGGAGGAACTCAGTGACAAACACTCGTACAATAGAATAATTTTATTTTTATAGGAGTGGGGGCAAACGAGCATGCGGCTCACCTGATGGTAAGTGACTGCCGCCGCCCATGAACAACCGCAACACCAGGGGAACCAGGGGAATTGCAGATGCGTTGCCGGCCTTTTCAAAAGGAATAGGCTCTTTTCTTGAAGGTCCCTAAGTCGTATCGTATATAATATATATGTGAAGATACTTAGGCATAATGTAGCGGTAAAAAAAAAACTATCAATATGTATTATGTCCATCTGTCCATTGCGGCCTATAAGAGTCCACTGCTGAGTACAGGCCTCCTCTATAAATAGCCTCATAGGATTTTATTAAATAGCTTATGTACAAAAGAAGACTTTCTATGTTTAAATTTTCATACGTGTAATTGAAATAAATTAGACCCTTCTCAGGATTTTAAGTAAACTCAATTTATCCCAAAGGATGTGAAAATTGAATTCTAACTTGGAAACAAACTAAAAGTAGATTAATAAATATTAACTTTTCTGAATATCGAAGCGAGATATGAAAGTTTAGTTATAGCTATTCTATTTCACGATGAAGTTTTGTCTTAGGTTTTTTTTTTTATAGGATTGGGTGATAAACGATCACACAGTCCACCTGATGGTAAGTGGTTGCTGTGGCCCATAGACATCTACATCTATCCTCGTTTGCGAATCAAAATGCAGATGCGTTATCACCCGTGAGGACTAAGATGGAATGCCTCTTTTCCAGCAAAACAGGTCTCCGGATCTCTACACTCACCATACGAAACACAGCAGCGTTAAGCTGCTATTTTACGCTGTTATTCTGCGAGAGCGTGGTTTTCCCCGGTCGAGCCGACCCATTCGTGTTACAACTATACTACTAATATAACTGCAGCAAGGCTCTACCACGTGTGAAAAGGTTGTTGTTAGCTGTGCACATACACATTGTGTTAGTGTGCGCAGGCCTCGGGTGCGCTACTCCCGAGCGACCTAAATTCTAATTTTGCCATAGTTGCCCCGCTTGGCAGCCGGATTGGCAACCGCAGTATGTTATAATTTTAAGTTGTTGGCAGGAAGATGCTTCTGCTCATACCCTGTTTCAGTTTCCTTCTGCCGTCTCCTATACACATATATATACATATATATGGGGTAGTGGATTTTTTTTATAGGATAAGGGTGACAAACGAGCACACAGTCCACCTGATGGTAAGTGGTTACTGCAGTCCATAGACATCTACATCTATCCTCTATTACAAATCAAAATGTAGATGCGTTGTCACCCGTGAGGACTAAGATGGAATGACTCATTTCCAGTAAAAAGGGCCTCCGGCCACCTGCACTCACCAAGCGAAACGCAGAGGTGAACCTCTACTTCACGCTGGTTTTCTGTGAGGTCGTGGTACCACCCCGGTTCGAGCCGGCCCATCTGTGCGACAGCAAAAGCTGCCGCGTGGCTCTACCACTGTTTGTGGTATTCTTATTCCGCCACTACACGACTGAATATTATGTAATCGCGTCATTAGTAATACCTACATATCACCTATATAACAATGTCCTCCAGACTGAATTTCGGTCACGGTGGCCAGCCTCAACGGAGCCTAACTATCAGCGCAGGACAGGATTATAGTGGCCAAGTGTATGCGCAAGCACAGGTGCACTCTCTATTCCCGCACTCTCATAATCCGATGGAACAGTAAACCGACACGACCGGAGAGAGATCAGGCCCAAGATCAACAACTTTACCTGCTTTCTGAGGCACGGGGGTTAGACACCGCCAGCTTCCTGACTCCGGACAGCTACTGAGAATTTCTTGACGAAAAAACCTAATAACTAATTCTATTAGCCCGACCCGGGTTTCGAACCCGGGACCTCATGATCAGCAGTCGCACTACTACAACCACTAGTGACCTTCGAGGCAGTAAAAAAAACAACTATATAATCACCTTATAAACCACTTCTAAAGCTACCTCGTCTTAATTGGTTTAATGTTCCATAAGCCATAATCATACTTACCATTAGGCTTTAGTTTCATAAAATCATGTTCGCCTACATTACAGTCTGACATATTTTTCGAAGGTTTAGCTTAGTTTTAGCCGATACCATCCACACCATCTGGATGCTTGGCGGTTCACCATTGTACGTTTTACTAGAAGTTTTCTTCCTCCTACGACCTCTCTTTGGAATCGTTTACCGCCGGTGAGTTTTTCAGATCGATACGACTTAGGTACTTTTAAGAAAAGACCATACTCCTTTCTAAAAGGCAGGGCACGCATCTGAAACTCCCCTGCTGCTGCAGTTGTTCATGGGTGGTGGTGTTACTTACCATCAGGTGAGCCGTATGCTCGTTTGCCCTCTCTCCTATAAAAATAAGTTTTTTTTAGGACTTAAACTCCAACTCCGACTCTCAATTTTCTGCCGTCAAATAACAGTGCTTGCACTGCTGCATTCTGGTCTGAGGGATTACCTCATATAATATTATACTGGCTCTATATTAATAGAGCTAGTATGATTACACGTCGTAACGAATAGCATCTAAGTCTGGCCTTCCTTGTTTAAAGATGGCTGTGGTTGTCCACGGGCTGCAGTACACACCAACAGGTGGACTATAGTTCGTTCGTTACTACAGTTTTATACAAATCTAGAAATCGGTTCTATTACAATAACTTCCTGGTCATTATCATCATCATCATTATCATTAAAACCCTTCACAAGTCCACCGCTGAACATAAGCCGCCCCCAAGGAATGCCACATAGCACGGTTCTGAACCACCTCCATCCATCGACTTCCTGCGTGTCTTACCAAGTCGTCATTCCATCTAGTGGGTCACCGCCCTATACTTCGCCTACCGATACGAGACTGCCACTTAAAAACCTTTCTTTGCTAGAGTTAGATGGGCCTTCTCTGCGTGATAGACTTAAAAATGAGGGTATCCGCAGTAGAACCAGAGTAACCGACATAGCCCAACGGACTAGTAAGCTGAAGTGACAATAGGCCATTCATATAGCTCGCAATTTCCTAATGGGAAGTTAAAATTTAAATACTATATTTTTTCTGTTTAGAACACCGATTCGTCAGATGTAGAAGCTTCACCGCCAGCTCCGCCACGAAAACCATCACATAAGAAATATCCGGCGCCAAAAGCGACTGATCGAGCTCCCAAACATGATATAAAGGTAAACTTTACCTAAATTAGACTAGACTATATAAGTCTACAGGAATTTTTTTACATATGAACTTAAAAATAAATAATTGGATCTCTACCAACTGTCACCAGTTTTAAATAGGAGAGAGAACAGACAAGTTTGAAAATAATATTTCAATTGAATTTTCTGAATGATGTACATATTTATATTATAATAATAATACTAAATTTATTTATTGAATAAAACCATATTGACACTACAAAGTTGAAGCACTGACCCCCAAACTAGCAATAGCTGTGTGTCTGTATTCAGTTCCTTCCCATATCCATAAAGTTACAATCATAAAACGGCTTATCAGCTTAACACAAATCAGAACAAGGTAACAAAATATATATAGATTTTACAAATTAAAAAAAAATTAAAAACTAAAAATATTCTACAATAACTATTTACTCTTTTTAATAGATAACAGTGACATCTGAAGCAGGCACAGAGAAAGAAGGTGAAATAGATGCAGAAAAAGAAACAAAAGAAAAAGGGTCTTCCGAAACAGAAGCTTCGAAACCAGTCTACTCAGATTCTGATAGCAGTGATGAAGAGGACGAACGAGAATTGGGCGGAAGAACGTACTCGGAGAAAGGAGTTGAAGTATGTGATAACATATCATATGAAAATAATTTAGATTGAAAACAGACCTTTTCATTTACTTTTTTAGTAGAAAAATTGTAGTAAATTATAAAATATTATGTCTGAAACTTTTTTGGTAATTTGTTACTACTGTAATTTAAGCTGTCTTCCTATGTAATTCAAGAGCTTCAATATTTCTCTAATAACTTTCCGATTCTACTAGAAGTAGCGTTCTTAACACTTTATTAAAAAGCACTAAAACTTCATTGAATAACTAGCTGCACTGAGTTGCAACAACGCTCAAACGCAGGTGCAATCACTCATTCAATTCTATTCGTAAATGTCCGCGTGTGCGATTAAATTGACTGGAACCATCAAGACGTAATCAGATTTGAAAACTATTTTCTTTTTTTTTTTTACAAAAATACAATTCACAGTTGTTGGGTGTTCTGGCAACGTGGACATTATTGTAAATGTTTCCGTTTCTCTGACACTGCATTCTAGTCTGTTTTCAATCTTTTCGCATAAGGGTTATATATGCGACAACTCCGTGGCACAGTGGCTCAGCAATAAGCTGAGGGCCGCGAGTTTGAATCCCGCATGGAACAATTTTATTGGCCTGACAATAATTCTTCCGGGTCTGGATGTTTGCGCTTGTGGATTTTATATATGTAAACTGCCTCCACGATGCAGGAGAAAATCTTAGTGTGGGGATAATGTTATTAAATAAATTTGTTTAAATTAAGTTAAAATGTTTATTCGTCATCATAGCACAACCACGAAAAGGTATCCCAATCAGCACAATGCCGTAGTAGCGTTGCCACAGCACTTGCAGCAGTACTGTTAGTAGTTGTCGTACATTATAAAAAAATTATTATTATTATTATTATTATTTTAATTTTTTTATAGAACAGGGTGACAAACGAGCACACAGTTCACTTGATAGTAAGTGGTTGCTGTAGCCCATAAACATCTACATGTATTCTTGTTTGCGAATCAAAATGCAGATGCGTTGTCACCCGTGAGGACTAAGATGGAATGCCTCTTTTCCAGTAAAAAAGGGTCTCCGGTTCTCTACACTCACCATACGAAACACAGCAGTTTTGAGCTGCTATTTGACGCTGGAATTCTAAGAGCTGAGAGCGTGATTCTTCCCCGGTCGAGCCGAACCATTCTTGCTACAACTATACTACTAATATAGCTGCAGCATGGCTCTACCATGTATAAAAGAGTTTGGCAACAGCAAGTTGGTTTTTACTCTTTATATGATACTAGCTGGTACCCGGCGCGCTGCTACCACAAAAGAAATAATTATGGAAACATCGTTTTGAATTTGGAAGAGTAATATTATATAATTAGGAATGATAATACATTTATTGAAATTGAATGATATATATCTTTCATATAAATTTGTCGGTGCGATACGCGCGCCACCTGTTGCAAGTTAATTATACTGTGCCTATAACCTTTGTGCAAGTGCAAACAACAAGTTGACAAAGTTATAGTGCAACATGATGAACGGTATGGCAGCGCATAAAATACGAACAAACAAAAATTAAATTTTAGATATTGAATTAATTAGAAGCTGCTGCTCATCTCCAGGTTTGTTTATGTCACCTCTCAAGACACCCACTGGACGATATGGGGTAGTACATATTCATAAACGACCATTACAAGATTTAAAGCCTACGGTTTTAAAAAATTAATTATCAGTATAGATTAATAATGAATGTAAACTTCTCTTAGATTGATCGAGCTTCTGCCGGAGCAATCAAACGGACTCGAGAAGAGAAAGAAGCGGATCCAGAAGAAGAAGATGACTTCGGTTACACTACAAGTGAGTGGAAAGATACATTATTCACGTTCTGTAATTTCTCTTTTTACTTGGTTCATGTCTATTTTTACGCTTGTCTTCTGGAACATAATGGTTGACTCAGATTATTAATTATTTCGTAATTAACAGTATTATCGATTAAACATCGATTACACATCTAGGGGCGACTTTTGCTAAAGGTAGTCTAATTTTAAACTGCAGACACCTCTCTAGTATTTTTGGTAGATTTTGTCACATCATAAAAGCTAACTCTACGCGGCCTTCCTATTGTGCTTCAGTAGGTTTTAGCTTTTTATATTTGACAAGACAAAAGTGACCAAACCTATCAAATATACAATAGAGGTGCGTGCAGTTTTATATTAGAAGATCTCCATTATCTTCGAATCAAATATGGGTGACTTGAAGAATTGTGGCACGTGCTAACAATTATTTGTAGTAAAACTAATTTTGAATATACATAATAAACTTGAATATAATAATATGTACTATAATCAGGTACCACAATATATAAAGGAATATATATACACTGTTTTTATATTTTTATTATTACTTTTCAGAGTAGCCAAATTTTAAATTTAAGTTGAAATATATAAATAATAATATACTGTTATTGCAGTTATTAAAAATACGAGTAAATAAGGTTTCTACTTTTATTTGAAATTTTCCGAAATTGAATGTGATTTATGGGCAATAACATTCTTGCCTACAGATCGACTCAAACGTGTGTGTGTGTGCAGTAAAATCAGTGAAAATAAATCATTACCACACTATTTAAATTTAAAAGATAAAAAAGACAGAATGTTTGAGATTTTTTAAATTAATTTTTCTACACCATTCGCCTATATTACTTTTTTTTATAGGAGAGCGGGCAAACGAGCATGCGGCTCACCTGATGGTAAGTGACTACCGCCGCCCATGAAAAACTGCAACACCAGGGAGAGAATTGCAGATGCGTTGCCGGCCTTTTAAAAAGGAGTACGCTCTTTTCTTGAAGATCCCTAAGTCGTATCGGTCCGGAAAAATCGCTGATGGTAATCGACTCGGTCGTTGACGATTCGAGCCGCTCTGCGCTGGATGCGGTCAAGTGGAAGGAGCTGGCACTGGGGAGCCCCTTCCCAGAGATGGGAACAGTATTCCATGTGAGGCCGAACCTGCGCCTTGTAAAGTTGCAGGCGTTGTGCCGGCATGAAATACTGTCCCGCTCTACTGAGCACGCCAAGCTTTGTAGAGGCCAATTTGACCTTCTCTTCCAAGTGACCACGAAACTGCACGTCACTCGATATGTCGACTCCGAGGATTCCAATACTGGCTGAGGCAAGAAGGGGAGTGCCTTGAAACTGAAGAGACACGACAAAGGGGTTCTTTTTAGCGGTAAACGCGCAAACTTGTGTCTTCTGGGGATTAAACTGGACTAGATTTAGTCGCCCCCAATCCGAAACTTTGTTCAGCAAAGACTCGACTTCAGACACTAGTTTGTTCCGGTACTCGGCGACGTTTTCCCGAGAAATATTGGCACGGCTGGTGTATAGAGCATCACGAGTGCTGTCATCCGCATAGCAATGAATGCTACCAGTTAGCAACATATCATTGATATGCAGAAGAAACAGCGTTGGTGATAGCACACAGCCTTGTGGAACACCAGCGTTAATAGGCTTGTAGTCTGAGCATGCACCGTCTACAATGACCTTGATGCTCCGATCTGCAAGGAAGCTGGTAATCCAATTGCACAATTTCTCGGAAAGCCCATAGGAAGGGAGCTTCAAAAGAAGCGCTTTGTGCCAAATCCGATCGAAGGCCATCGCAATGTCCAAACTAACGGCCAACGCCTCCCCCTTGGACTTTACTGCCTCCGCCCATCTATGGGTCAGGTAGACCAGAAGATCACCAGCTGATCGACCCCGACGAAAACCGTATTGGCGGTCACTAATCAGCTGGTGATCCTCAAGGTACCGGATGAGCTGGCAGTTAATAATGGATTCCATTATTTTGGAGATGAAGAAGGTGATCGCGATAGGCCTATAGTTGGACGGGTCTGAGCGGTCGCCATTTTTAGGGATCGGGTGGACAAAAGCTGTCTTCCATGAATTCGGGACTACACCTTGGGAGTAGGACTACCGGAAAAGACGCGTTAGGACCGGTGCCAACTCCGGAGCACACGTCCTCAGCACAATTGGGGGGATTCCGTCAGGCCCACTCGACTTATGGATGTCCAGGGAGACGAGTGCTTTGCGAACCGAGCGCTGTGAGAACAGCACGTCCGGCATGGAGCACTCACACCGCGGGATGTTCGGCGGTGTTTTCCCCCCGTCATCAAGTGTCTGACGCTTCTGCAAATTTGGCCGGTTATTACAAAATAACCCTGAAAATAATGCATTACCACACTATTTAAATTTAAAAGATAAAAACTACAGAATGTTTGAGACATTTTTTAATTAATTTTTCTTCACCATTTGCCTATATTACTTATTCTGAACCTTCTCTGCAAATTTGGCCGGTTATTACAAAATTACCCTGTGTACAATTTTCATCATATAAAATGTTGTTTTTAAAGGGATTATGTAATACAATAAATAATATATCAAAATAAATTAGATAAACATTACAAACTAGCTTCGCCGATGGTTTTATTACCATTGCTAATATCACAGACGAATAATTTGACATAGGCTGCAACGACGCGATTATTTTAGGGTCAGCAAAAATTTCCTTCTGATAAACATAATAATGCTTTTATCTCTGTATTTCATTTGTGTCTCGTAAAATATTTTAGCATATTATGTAAATATAAATGGTAAAACCTCCCACAAATATAAACCTTATTACGAAATATATTAGGCTTATAATAAAGAAGCAGCAAGTATTAATAAACTTTATTATATAAAGTATACTATAAAATCATTAGTTCTGCATTCTGCTATGGGGTCCATTACAACATATAAAAGTCCACTGCTTGACATATGCCTCCCACATAGATTGTCTCATAGTTGCCACGGTTGGCAGACGCGTTGACAACCGCATGTTTTTATTATTTTAATTTGTTAGGTATCTAAAGAAGATGCTGCTGCCCATTTCCTGTTTAAATTACCCTCTGTCGCCTGTAACGACACTCACAGGATTATACGGGGTAGTGGTTACTATACTATTGGGTTCTTTAGGTTAACCTCCATATAAAAGTGGAAGTGGAAGTCTACGGTGGTGAGCGAAAGCATTCCCGTAGCTCTGAATTATGACAGGAAATGAATAGCCTTGATTTAGTAGATTAGAGGTCAGCATGGCCATTCTGTCTCCTCTATGTCATTCTCCAGGACTATATTTAGTAATTTACGAATATTTAATACGAAAAATTAGACAAAATCCACCCACAATATAATGAAGTCGCGTGGAGTTTTAAATAAGACAATTACTAGAGACATATCAATAGACCGCCGTTGATTTGCATTTGAATAAATTATATTAATTATCATTTAACCCTTTTCCTGTCCCTTAATTACTGTGACCCATAGACATCTACATCTATCCTCAATAAAGAATCAAAATGCAGTTGCATTGTCACCCGTGAAGACTAAGATGGAATGCCTCTTTTCCAGTAAAAAGGGTCTCCGGTTCTCTAAGCTCACCATACGAAACACAGCAGTGTTAAGCTGCTATTTTACGCTAGTATTTTTTGAGAGTGTGGTCCTTCCCCGTTCGAGCTGACCCATTCGTGCTACAACTATACTACTAGTATAGCTGCAGCATGGCTCTACCACGTAAAATCTCTGATTTGTTTCCCACTGTCGCCTTTTACGACACGCAGGGAATGATATGGGGTAGTGGATATCTTAAACCACCACAATACGGCCACTATCTGCTAAAAAGCACTGGACATCGTCAATAACAATTTATCAGCGTTACCCGCGGGACTTAAGCTGGGATTGGTGGGAAAACGTTTTTATCCTTAATGATTTTTCTTATATTTACTCGAATATTACACATATAATAAAAGTAATTTAACGGATTTTATTGCGTTTAATTTGAATTATTTTTAATTTGCGACATTTCGTGTGCTTTACAGCCAGTAATCAGTACTGAGTTAGATTAGAATTGTTCTCCAGCACCTTAAAAACGGCAAGGCCCCAGACGATGATGGAATTATAGTGGAGCTTTTGAAAGCGGGTGGAAAACCGGTACTTAAAGTCCTTCAGAAGCTCTTTAATTCGGTCCTACATAGTGGCATTACACCGGAGGCGTGAAGCAGAAGTACGATGGTCTTGTTTTTCAAGAAAAGCGAGAACCCTCTCTTGAAGAACTACAGACCGATTTCTGTTCTGAGCCGCATCTACGTGCTGTTTTCGAGAGTCATTACGTATGATTGTCTCGCACGCAAACTCGACGACTTCCAGTCTCCCGAAAAAAGCCAGTTTTCTTAAAGGTTTTAGTACCATAGACCACATACACACCCTTCAGCAAATAATGCAGAAGATTGAAGAGTACAATCTGCCACTTTGTCTTGCGTATGTAGACTATGAGAAAGACTTTGATTCCGTCGAAATTTGGGCGGTGCTGCAGACCCTCCAGCGGTGCCAAGTTGACTGTCGGTATATCGAAGTGCTGAAGTGCTTATACAGTAGAGCTACGATGGCTATCCGAGTACAGAATCAGAGTATGAAACCTATCCAACTGCAAAGAGGTGTAAGACAGGGTGACGTTATATCCCCGAAATTCTTCACCGCTGCATTGGAAGTTGTTTCCAAGCTACTGGACTGGAAAGGATGCGGTATTAACATCAATGGCGAGTACATCACTCACCTTCGATTTGCCGACGATATAGTCCTTATGGCAGAATAGCTGGAGGACCTAAGCACTATGCTTAATGACCTCAATAGTGTCTCAACGGATAGGTCTTAAGATGAACATGGACAAAACAAAAATCATGTTTAGCGTCCATGTGACACCTATGCCGGTAGTTGTTGGGAGCACTAAGCTCGAAGTTGTTGACGAGTATGTTTACCTGGGACCAATAG